AATTGTAATATTCACTTCTTTCATCTTAAAAAATTACAGTTTCAAACAGTAAAAATTGCCATTTCAATATATAGTCCATATTATAAGGAGAAGGGGAACTCAGATGAAAGAGAAGGGGGTCTCACTTTGAGAGAATTTAACATTTGAAACAGTAAAGATTATACTTTTAAAATATACATTTTACCAGTCCAAGCAAGTCAATAATTACAGTTTGATTTTTAGCGTTGCGTTTAAAATTTACCATTTTACTTTGTAAATATTGACGTTGCTTGTATTAGAAATTTACTAACTTTATTCATACTTTTTACATATCATAAGATCATTTTTTAAGTACGAAATGATAAATATCAAAGTCTGAATTCTTAATTATTATACTTTAACATTTTAGACACTTACACAGCGAATATTACTGTTTGAAATAGTATTTTCTTCTATGTAAAGAGTAAATTGTAACGTTTAAATGGTAAATATTATAACGTGAATAGTAAAATCACGATTTTACTGTTTGAAATTGTAATTTTTAGCAGTTGATCATTACTTATTATAAATCGACTGTTATTTATTACAGTTTACTTTTTTCCGTGTATAACAGTCCGCCCCGACTTCGCACGGGTATTTAACAAAAATTTCAAAATTCATTATAATAATAGCATATGTCACCGGGGGATAGTGTAGCTTCCCAACAGTGAAAGAATTTTTCAAATCGGTTCAGTAGCTTCGGAGCCAATTCAATGCAAACAAACAATCAAATCTTTCCTCTTAATAATATTATGTATAGAATAAAACATCGGATATTTCTTCGAATATTATTGGTGTAACTATATAATTTTTAAACACTAATTTTTTTAGTCCGGCAATAAGAATGAAAACGACTTTAGTAAGTGACTTAATTAATTGTTGAGATTAATTATCAGAATAAATAATTATAAAATTGAAATAATTTCAATTTAATTTTTAAAAAGCTTATTCACATTTTCGGATTTTTTTTTTCTTAATTACTAACTAAATTTCAAAAAAGTGTATGCATATAAACAGAGTTTAAATATTTGAATAATAATTAAGATTCTGAATTTATTTTTTTTTGACAAATTGATTGACTAATTATATTGATAAGAAATAACGATTTTTTAATAGCCACTTAGATTATACTTGATGGAAAATTTTGTTAATTTACTTCGGTACTTTAATCTAAAATTTACCCCCGATTTATTACAGTGTAAAAAAAAATTCCTTACAACTTTAAAGTTTAAATAATTTTTTTTTCATATTAAAAATTAAAGAATTTTTTTTTCGCACATAAGTAAGCGAAAAAAGCTCCCAGCGTAATAAATAAAAAAATAGAGAACTTACCGGTTTATTTTATCGGGCAGTTTTTATACACATTAAAATTACACATGGGTGAGCCGTTGCGTATGGGGTTGAGTGTGTACTAGTCTTCCCTGTTCCTGTTCCCACCAGCTCACGACGTCCATGAACTCCCCGGTGTCAGAGATCTCCTGCTTGTAGTAAATGGTACCGAATCCCTCGGGACTGGCCGCGTAAATAGTTCCACCCTCCTCGCTGTCCCCGGCTCCGCTGTACGGGGAGAGGATTTGCGGCTCCAGGTTCTCCTCATTTTGGTAGTACTCCGTCGCGGGCGACGCCAGACTTGGGGACAGCCTTGCAAAGTTTTGCACAGGTATCACGGGCTCCAAGTTTTCTTCATCCCCCGCGGGGTACAAATTTTTCGGCGACGTCGCGGCTGCCGGTGATAGTCTGCAATTTTATAAAAATAATCAGTCAAAGTTTAAGTTTTAAACTCCCAGGGCTTTTGTGAGTTTAAATTTAAATTATGGCCGAAAATAAAATAAAAATAAATCCTGAGAAAATACGATCATTTTATAGGGGAGTTTCTTTATATTATTCGCGCGTTATTCCCTTAATATAAGGGATGGTAGGATTCTTTTCATTGTTAAATCCCGAGCCGGACAGACTTGAATCGGTGAATTAATTTCAGTAACAATATAAAAATATATACAACCGTTAAAAAAAAAAAAATTACGTGTTGGGGTTTATACTTTGATCTTAAAATAGAAATCGTCTGGTTGTAAAAATAAATAACAGACAGAAAAATTCAATTTCTTCATTGTAAGACAATTATTTGATAAAACGACCATAAAAATTTTTAAATGTATTGAATCAAAGACAAAAAATAAAAAAATTTATGGCCTTGAATCGATGCAAAGATTTGATAAGATCCGAAAAGTAATTTGAGTTAATGATATATAGCCATGTGTGTTTATGTGTGATTGATAATTGTACAAAAATATTTCATTATTTAGAGAAACATTTTATTGCTTTTATTTTTAAAATTATACTTTATATATTATTATATTTTTATGTCCATTGTTTTATGTTATGTTCATATTTTTAAAATCACACATGATCAACATATGTGTAAATAATATTAATGCATCACATATGTAAACAAACATTATTATATATGATTTTTGAGTACATAAATTTTAATTATATCTACAATTTTATTTTACCATAAATGTGAGCTTGGAAAAATGAATCACATATGGTCACACATTATCATGTGTGTTCAAGAATGGTCACATGGGCTCATATATGATAAATTCATCACACACATATGGTCACACATGGTCATATGTATTTAAATATGGTCACCCGTGCTCATATGTATTCAAATATGGTCACCCGTGCTCATATATGATCAATTGATCACAGATTCATGTAGTCACACATAGTCACATATCACATACGATCATTTAAGGTCATATATAATCTATTAATCACATATGAGTCACACATCATATATATACCCGGGGAAAACGGTTTAGATCTGGTCAGATCTAATTATATCTGGTCAGATCTATTTATATCTGGTCAGATATGGGATTGGAGACATAATCAGATATAGTCATATCTGATCAGGTCTAAACAGATATAACTATATCTGAGTTAATAAATACATTAGAGATGATCAGATCTAGTCATATCTGATCAGATCTAAACAGATATAACTATATCCGAGTGGAAAAATACATCAGACATAATCAGATATAATCATATCTGATCAAATCTAAACAGATATAACTATATCTGGGTTAAAAAAAAAGTCAGACACAAAAATATTTTATTATATCTGGCCAGATATAACTATATTTGTTAACTATTAATAAATACTGATAAACTATTTTACTAAATATACTTTCCTCCCAAATAAATATTTATTGAATGTTAAAAAATATTTATTAGAATTTAATAAATTAAATAATTGTTTTCGAATAAATTAATTTGTTAATAGTTAATAAATCTTTCTATCAGCGTATATTGATAATTAATAATTTGCAATAAATTTGATAAAAAACTTTGTTTATTACGCATCGATCATGGACACGATTCACATTACTTGTAGTTACTACAAACTCTGCTCTTCAAGTAAGCTTCGTTGGTAAACAGGTAATGAATTAGACGGAGTTTACAACCCTTCTCCAGTATAGAAAAAAATTAATTTATTCATACAATTGAAAAATAAAAAGAAAAAAAACTGAAATGACCTCGAAAGAGCAAGAATTTATAAGAAAGTTGTACTGCATTGCGTTGCCCAGCCTGGCCATTATGTGTATCAAAAAATGTAATTAAAGCTTGTTTTAGTTTGTTTAAGCATTAAATAGTTTTAAGGAATAATTGTAAATTTTCTATGGGTTCAATAAAACAAACATTTATAAACTAAAACTAAAGGTAATGAATTAGTCTTTCAAGCATCAGGTCCCAGGTTCGGTTCCCGCGCGCGCCGATTGTTTTTTTTTTTTTTAATGGAAATAATTTTATATAATTGTATATGATTATATATGGCCATTTTTCGTATATAATTATGTATGAGTATATATAATCTTTTTTACCTGGGCAATTTTAAAATCTGACCAGATCTGGTCAGATCTGATTATATCTGGCCAGATCTCGTCAGATAGAGACAATTTAAAGATCTGGCCAGATCTGTTTATATATGGCCAGATCTAATCCGTTTTTCCCGGGTATGTGGTCACATATGATCAATTTTTCGTAATTATGTGAGTTACGTATGATCACGCATGATCATTAGTGGTCATATATGATCCATTGATCACATATATGGGTCACACATGGATCCAAATGGTTATATGTGGTCGCATATGGATACATATAGTCATATTTGGTTACATATGATCAATTATTCGTATATATGTAAATCATATATGATTACACATGGTCATTAGTGGTCATATATATGTTCCATTGATCACATATTTGGGTCACACATGGATAGATATGGTCATATGGGTCACAAATGGATACATATGGTCATATGTAGTCACATATGGATACATATGGTCATATGTGGTCACATATGGATACATATGATCACATATTGATACATATGGTCATATATGGTTACATATGATCAATTGTTCGTATATATGTAAATCACGTATGATCACACATGGTCATATGTGGTCATTAGTGGTCATATACGATGCATTGATCACATATATGGGTCACACATAGATACATATGGTCATATGTGGTTAATATGATCAATTGTTCGTATATATGTAAGTCACGTATGATCACATATGGTCATATATGATCACGTGTTAAAATTTTGATAAAAATAAAAAATAATACCTAGTAACTCTCTCATCCTCGTCATCCTGGTGTTGTTCCTCCTCATCATTGTTCCCCTCATCCTCAAAAACGACCCTGTCCCCCGACCCATTATGCCCAGAAATACTGCTACTGGGTGACGGAATATTGTGACTTCCACTATCAAACTCCACACCATCGGCCTCCGCAAGTAGTCTCTGCAGCCCGCGAATATACTCGACAGCCATCCTGAGAGTTTCAACCTTCGACAATTTCTTCCCGCGGTCTCCATACCCTGCGGCAATATAATTAGGAATGTGTTGTCTGAGTGTCGCGAACCCGTTGTTAACTTGCTTCACCCTGTTTCTCTCGCGGGCATTCCTCTTTGCGACCGCGACTGGCGGAGGCTGACCATTTTTCCCGTGTTTCTTTAGTCTGGTCGGATCGTAAGGCGGGAGAACTATATTATTGTTGCTGCTTCCATGATCCAGCTTCATGTTCATGTTTAGACCTTTCTGGACGATCAGATGCGGCGAACTTCCCAGGATGTTGCTCCCGTTGTCCTGGAGGGTTCTCAGCAGCATCAGCTGCTCCTGGTCCCCGTTTATCTGCACTCTGTTGCAGTACACTGTCACGCCCATTGTTGTCATGGCTTATTATTTATTTAAATATTAACAAGTCGATGCTTTCGTGCACCAAATTCAATTGTCAATTTAAATTCTTTATTTTTAATCGCGACTGTCTCGAACTTATGTCAAGAAGTGTCAGGGAATAATTCGTTCCATTTTAAACTTGTATTATCCAGTTGTCATTTAAATTTTAACTTTCACTTTGTTTTTATTTTTATTATTACCAATAATTTCTTCAAGCACTTTTGAAAATTTTTGTTTTTAATCAAAATTTCGATTAGTCGTTCCCTTATTCATATCATGTATTTTAATAATAATTTAAATAATTCATTTTGAGGTGTGCATTTTAAAATTTTCCAATAGTAAAATTTGATTTTAATTATATGATTAATTAACTTAAAAAAAATGTATAAACTTGTTATTAATTTTTGACAATTTTTCCTTTTGTTGTGCTTTATAAAAATATTTTTTAATTAAAATTTTTTCTAATTTTGACAACTTAAAAATTTATTCTAAATTTACTAGTCACTTATTTTTCATTAATAATTTTAAAAAATTTTTCTTACGGTGTGCTTTTGTAAAATTCTTAAAAAATTTTTTTAAATAAAAATTTCACCTTATCTTACATCAGTTTTTTTATTTTAAAATAATTAAAAAAAAAAAATGTTTTATAAAATTATGTCACTGATTTTAAATTTTATTTAAAGGTGTGCACTAATTAGAATTTCCTTTGATCAAGCACAAACTTAATTAATCCATGGTTCGATAAATAAATTTTCAAACTATAAAAATATTGAATGGAATGAAAATGAAGGAACACTTGACACTTAAAATACAAAAATAAAATGAAAAAACACTAACATAAAGTTTTATAAAAAATATAAAAATAGTCGCGTGCTACGCGCCGCATGCCGTCCACATTCGGAGTGAGCTCTAGAGAGATGGTTTAGGTTTCGCCATGCACATCGAATTATACGTACATCGTACATATGAATTTATAGAAGCATGTGTGTCTGTGTGTAATAAGTGTAAGTATATCCATGAACAGAGGAAGCACTTAGGGGAAGAGAGACTGGAGAGGGGATTTGGAGCACGCGCCGCATATTCGCCCTTCTATATTCTTATATATTATATATTATGTATTATATTCTAAGGGACCAAAGTGTGTATGTGCGTCGCGCGTCGGATATAACATATAATACTTACTTGTTCTTTCCGGTATTGGGGTTGTGTGTGTTTGTGTCCGATGGTTGATTGTTGTTGGGCGCAAACCATATGGTACAACGTATTTTTACCAAGACATGGGAGGGTTGTGTCAGTGAGTTCGTTTTATTTCGAGTTTCGTGGGTAATGTCAGTTTTTTCGGGACAGTTTTCTTCTTTTTTTACTTGGTGGGAAAGGTAATTAAATTGACACGGAGATTATTTTTTTTTTTTATTTAGTTGATGATTCTTGAGGAAGTATGCGAGGGTTTTGTTAGTTTAGAAAAAGATCGGCTAATTTTTAATTCTATTTTTTGCTGGAAAAAAATTGTTGGTTTAAGAAAAATATTAGCTTGAAAATTTTGATTTGAGATATTTATTTGGAATTAATTTAAGAAATTTAAAATTTTTTAATTGAAAAGGAATTTGATTATGGTTTTAAGGATTGAAGTAAATTTTTTTTCAGCATAAATTAAATGAAAAAATTAAGTTTAAAGTTATTAAAGTTTATTATATTAAAAAAATTTTTTTTTATAAATCTACGAAAGTACAAATTTTGAAGAATTATAATGAAGATGATATTGCGTAGCTTGAAAATTGAATTTCTGGGAGAAATATTGAAGATAAGAAAAAATTATATTGAATTTTTTTTTTTAGAAAAATTGATTTTCTACAAGAAATGTCTTCATAAATTTTACTCTATCTCTGACCACTCAGCCATAATTTTAAATTTAGAGCCGTAAAATTTATTAAATTGATAAACAATCTTGTTTTCAAAATTTTAACTTTAATTTCGGCCAATATATTGAAGATAAGAAAAAAATGATAAAAAACCTTTTTTGTAGGAAATTTATTACTCTATAAACAAGGTCTTTGTCAATTTTATCCTACACAGAAAATAGTATATTGTGCAACAAGTGCGACAAGTTGTCGATTACCCACGAAAGCGAAGTTGAACGCACGAGCGAAGCGAGTCCTTAAAAACAAACAAAAAGTTAAAAAAAAAGAAACAAATATATATCAGATAATAAATGCATAATAGTTAATATTAATTAACAAAAAATAAATTTACACATTGAAACAATCAACACATAAAATTAAATCACATTAAATTTAGCTGTCATTACAATTTTTTAATTTTCTCTCATAAACAAATTTGTTCCGAAAAATTATTCATTAAAAATTGCATTTTTTACTTTACAAAATTCCTACATGTCAATTTTAAAAAAATTTTTATTTTGTCATAATTTATTTCTTACAAAAATTATTAAAATTATCAAATTTCTGCTAAATTTATTTTCATCACAATTAAATAGCTGGATATTAATTAATTATTTTTACTTTCGTTAAAAATATGAACTTTGTAATGTCAACCTCACTTCTTTAATATTGACAGTTAGATTGTGTTTTTTTTTTGTTATTTATTTTAATTTTAGCAGTTTTCACAATCAACCGCAACAGCGAGCGCCAAGATACTACTTTTCCCGCATGAGTAATACAAAAAATGTTCTTGAATCAAGTATATCATTTTGAAGAACTTAATATTCTTGATTTGAGTAGAAAAATTCTTGATTTAAACAAATTTTTCTTGATTTTAGAAAATTTTACTTGATTCAAGAATTTTTCTCTTGAATCAAGTTAACTTTTTTGTCAGTGTATCTTTTATATATAATTTAGTCAGAATTTTAATTTTAAAGTCAGAAAATTGTTTTAAGGTAGTTGGGTCCTGCGAGCAAAATTTCAAGAAACCTTCCAAATTTATAATACAAGTAATTAAATGCATAACGCACATGCTGTTAAAATTTGGAGATGGTTTACCACGTTTAATTGAAGATAATTGCAATTGAAAATGACATTTTTACACAGGCGGTATGGGAAAAGAGAAAGAAAACCGCGAAGTTTTATTATTTTTGTATTGAAGAAATTTTAAGAATTTCACGAAAAACTAATATTACTTAGATTAATACATGTATAATTACTCTAAAAAATTCTGGAATTCCCTACCACATAGTTTTTAAGAAATCATTGATAAACTAATAAAGTCATACGGGGAAGTAAGTGAGCAATAGCCCGTAAGAGAGGCAACACTAGCGAATGAAAAAGACAGCAGTAGAATAACTATAGGTTAGGAAAGAACCACCTTAATTAATAAAAAATATTGTTTTCAAAATTTTGACTTTTATTTCGGCCAAAATATTAAAGGCACGAAAAAATGATAAGAAATATTTCTTCTAAGAAATTAAATCATCTACAAAAAAGGTCTTTATCAATTTTACCCAATTTTTTACCATTTAGCCAAAATTTTATTTTTAACGTTTCAAATACTTCGGAGCTTTCATATTTTTTCGGTTAGTTTCATCGTCAAAAAAAAAAAAACATAAATTCATATTATTACATCCGATTAGTCGCTTGCGTATAAAATATAACAAAATAAGGACCGAAGATGAGCATACTTTATTTTTGCTTTCAAAATTTCATGAATTAAATCCCGGGAGCGCTTTTGTCGTAGTCACAGATGTTACGGTAGTACGTGTCCTTGACACTGAAATGTTTACCGATTTAAGTAAATCCAAAATTTTCTGTCAGTTTGATGAATAGTTAATATTAGAATTTTCACTTTTTCCCTCTCTAAATTGGGTTGAAACTGTGGGCGGGAAAAAATTTGAAAAATGATGTTACAGCATAAGATTTTTTCTCGTCAAACTTGAAACTAAATTTCTTAAAAAAAGCTCCCGTTAAAATTCAGTAACCGTCTGTTGTAAAAAAAAAAAAAAAATAAAAAATGAAATAATTGAACAAAATAAAAATGACAATAAAAATAGCCAGACAAGAGCGATTCGTTGCAAAACTTAAAAAATTAATCTTAAAGGGCTCTTGAGGGGAAAAAGTAAAAATAATTCAAGCGAATATTTAAGAAAAAGAATTGATGCAAACAACCTTCAGGATAATAACAATAATGTCCGTAAAAAATTTATATAACAACTATAAAGAAGAGAATGAACGAGTTTGGATGATCAAAAAGGAATATAAGGCACATTCACCGGCGACTGGTTAAAACTTAAATTTATTCACTAGCACCCCGATAATGCGGTCTCTTACCCTCTTTTTATCATTTCTCAGGTTTTTTTATTTTTTTTTTTTTATTATTGTTCCCTCTTTTTTTAATTAGATCAGAGCCTGTGTCGCCGGTATAAAAATAGGAATAATAATAATATTAAAAAATCTAGGTAGACGGGGTAGGTATGCTCGCGTATAAATCAAAATCTCACCCCAGTGATTAACATTAGAAAACGGATTTCAGATGATGCCAAAAAGAGATGAGAGGGATGGATCCGATAGGACAACGACCGGGCCCAACTTTTCGTTCCAGTGGATCCTGTTTTGTTCCTAAGCCCGGCTAAATTCACCGTAAGCCCTAACCCGACTACCACCTATGTATATATGGAACATGTATAATATAATATAATATAAAATATAATATACAATATTTAAGTAGGGCTCGACTGAATTTATAACAATAATAACTTTAAATATATGGAGTATGGGTATAAGTACATCCGGGGTGCCGGAGAATAACTCACCGGATATTTTTAAACCCCAAGATCATAACCGGACTCTTGTCTAGTGCATCAATTTTACATTATATGTTCATTGGGAATTCTTTATTGGAAAATTTAGAATTCAGGGCGCAATTTTTGGTTTATGTGCTGGAGATTCGGGTTGGTTGTTTAGGGGAAAGGGATGGGAAATTTAAATAGATAATTTTGGGTCTGTACGCAAATTTTTTTGGAGTTTCTTAGCATGCAAAATTATTAGGAA